ACTCTAAATGGTAAACTTTAAATATAATCAGCACAAATTTTTCTTGGTAAATTGTAAAAAAAGAAAAAGAAAAGAGCATTTCATTGGTATGGAGGAGACAAAGTGGCGTAAGGTGTATGGCAATTTGCAGTATGGAGACAAACCGGAGATGGTGACATCACTATTTGCCCGTTATTATTGGGCTTGCATGAACGCATGAAAACAGCAGTGCCTGTCGTGTCAGTGAACGGCAGTCACGTGAACTGAGAGAAACAAAGTTGACTGTCCACCATATACCCTTTCCACCATAAACTCAATTAGGCCGTGGTAATGGCCCTTCGACACAAATGTTGACTCCTCGCCTTAATCCCAATTAAGCAGTTAGGAAATTAATTAAGGAAGATAAGTTTCTAACACAGGATATCGAAATTAAGCTCGTTTATATCATCATCACATATTAATACACAGAGTCGCCTGCATTCCGCACCTGAACCGGCTCAATTCGTGTTTTATTTGGACCAAACCCGGTTCACGAGGGCCAGCGCATTGCTGGTCATCTGAGCCACCTCGACCACCTTCGGCCGGATCGCCGACCTGATGCCGCCGGAGCAGTGCTCCTCCAGGCTATCCAAGCACGTGTTCTCGTCCGTGAGGGCGGCGCTGCACCACGTGCGGACGTTGCTCATGTGCCAGGCGAACTCCGGCGACCCCGCCCCGCCCAGCAGGTCCAGCTCCTCCGCCGACCTCCGTAGCCTGTCCACGCTGTCGGCCATGTTCTCGAGGCAGTCCCGGACGGCGCCCGCGTCCCTGGGCCTCACCGACTTGGCCCCGGCGATGATGCGGGAGACGTAGGTCGAGGCGGAGCGAGCCCGGTCGGCGCTCACGGCCATGGCCGCCCGCGCCAGCTGCCGCGGGCTGTGGCGTACCGCCGGGGCGTACGAGGCGAGGCACCGGAAGCAGAGATCGGGATATCGCGTGGCGCTGCAAGATGAGCGGACGAAGTCGGTAGGAGAGCCAGCGGAGGTCACTGCACAGGTTGAGTAGCAGATTACAGCAAGGAGGAAGGCGAGTGAGAAGGGCATTGCTCTTGCCATTTCCTCTCTCTCTCTCTCTCTGATAATTTACAAGCTGTGTGTTGGGTGCTTTATATTGAGGGAAAGATGGCAGGATGGCACTGCAATATGTAAGAGTCAGTGGAATCTCTTATGTTAGAAGGAAGTAACTCATTTACTGCTTTGTTGTTCCTCACAGCTGGAAACAGACTATATTGCTTCAGAGTTCTCAGTACTTGCAACATCGGTGGGAATCTTGTCAGAAGTTTTGACAGAAACAACGTGGAAAGTAATATAAAAGCGAAATTGTTGGAGATTGAAGATGATAAGATGTCATTAAGTTCCTTTTCCACGGACATGTCCTTCAATACGTCATGAGCACACTGTTTTCACGTCTACCGCATTGCAAGGAAAACGCGAGATCTAATCCAACATTCGAAGTAGCAGTATCTATCTTATTTCCTATGTTAGATAGGCAAAAACACTAATAAATAAGTAATTCTCGCGTTAGATATATACTAAGGACAAATTCTCAAATTACTTAAGTCATAAGATATCATTGTATTATTCATCCGTAAAGAGTTAGCCTAGTTAATCTTGGACATGATGTTATTACATTGAACCCTAATGAGAAATGTAATTTTGGACGTGAGTTTTGTCATGACTTCGTGTAGGTGCAACCGAGTCTTTGGTGTCTTCCATCGTTCGATTTACTCATTATTAGGCCATGTCAATCGAAGATTTTGCTTCATCTTGCGAGTTCTCTGTCCCAAGAAGTCTTCGTTTGCCTTAGTAGAATTTATCTAGACTTATTTCGAGAACTACATGGTGGGTTTTCGTAGCCGTAAGCCTCTTCTCATGGCTTCTCTTTTCGATTGGCACTTCAGATTGTGCTTCATTCACTCGTGAAAAATAACCAATTTCTCGCTCGTCATTTTTACTATCGCGCTTCTCTTGAGCAGCTCCAATAACTTAAGAGCAATTTTGCACTTATAGAATATTTGCATTTACTTGGGGCAATGGTCTAGTTTAACTCGTCTTGTTCAATTCATCATAATGCTTTGCCATTGTGAGATTATGAACTTTCGTTGTTTGCTTGAATTGCTTACTCGCTCTGATACGACATTGTGATGGACTAGCAAGATTTGCTTAAGTCATGAGATACTCTTGCATTATTTGTCTATAAAAGGTCTACATAATTGCAATCTCGCTCAGGTCCCCAAAAACCTATAAAATAGCAAATCGATTAGTTTTGAAAGTAAGAGACGAACAACTCCCAATGTTTTACAAAGAGAGCAACTTTATAAGCAATTCAATAAATACTTAGTATATAAGAAAGAAAAAAGAGAAAGGAGAAAACAAGGCTTTCAAAGGTAAAGGAATAATCATAAATCTACAAGCGATTACTCATCGAATGTTTTGCATGTTGGCAAGTTCCCATATACTTTACGTGAGGACTTGTAAATCTAATCAATGCCCAACACTATTCCAAACCACTATTCAACCCCATGCTACTTGAATAATTCTAAAGTGCTGAGATAGCTGAGGCTTGGTATCGCAACCTACAAAAAACAAATCATGACATATGAAAAGTAAGTCATTTTAAGGGTACTTTTATCCATTATGGTGAGTAATCGCTTTGCAACTTTGGAAACTATTTTTTCTTATAATTCTTAAGTAAAAACATATAGAAACAAGGTCAAACACACTGCTAAACATATGTACAAGTAAACAAAAGTGATAAACGATCCGTTGACAAAGGTGTTACGGGTGCACGATGACCATTCGTGATACTATATTGCCTCCTCTCCCCTCTGCCCCATTGTATCTACTACCATCTCCACCCCTTGGCCCCCCTCACTTTCACTCTTATGTAATGGGAGATTAAAATGACTCTACCAAACCCTCCCCTATGCACAAGGGTCATCGTTGCTACACCCCCTCTTTCCTTGCATGAGAATACCGAGGGTTACCACTGCTATGCCCCCTCCTTCCTCATGTAAGGCTGAGGCAGGTCTGGCGAGGGTCGTAGAAGTGACAACAGGTTCAATGGGGCAAAAGGGAGGGGAGCTGACGGTAGAGGCGATAGCGGATCCGATGATGATAGGGGTAAATTGATCTTTTCATGTAACAAGAGCGGATGCTCTACGAAAATTTTTAAAAATTAAAACATTCTACAAGAATTTCTCAAAAATATTTTTTTTTAAATTCGCCCTTTATATACTTTGTTTAGACTTAATAAGTTTATCGTGTTCAATCAAACTAAATCATAGGCTCAACTCTATACTCTCTCGCCAGAACAAAGTTCTAAGAGTGGCATTTGGATCCTTGGCCATATTTATGGGTATATCGTTGAAAGCATATACCCATATAGATATAGTTATCATATCACAATACATACGATTTAAGATCGACACCGTCTAACCCTTTAAGAAACCATGAGAATCACATCATCACCATCTATTTCTTTGATGCTGAAGAGTCGATGACCCATCAAAAGAATTGAAGGATAACCCTCGCATCTCATAGGCCCGATAAATGGACCCCAGCCAAGCCGGTGATAAATTTCAGGGGCGACTCGGTCTTTCTACCCTGCTTCAACCCGATTCTGGTACTCGGTTGGAGTCGAACTGATTGAAAGGAGCCCGTTTTCCCTCCTTATAAGCACTCCCCATTCGAACTCATCGAGAGAGAGAGTAGCCCTTGCCATTTCTATCGTCTCTGAGGTATGATCTCGACTCGAAGCCCTAACCTAATATCTCCTCCTTCCTCAATCTTCTCATCATCGATCTTTCGTTTCTTTTGCCCCTCTTTTCTCGAATTCATCATCTTCCAATGTGCCGGAAAAAGCGAAAGTAGCAGTGGTATTTGTTGTGCTCAGATGAGATGCTTTGATTTCTATTCTTTTTCATGGATCGGTGATGCTTTCTGTTTGATAGGATTTATTAGTTGGGGAGTTGCAGAAACTCGATGATTTCTCACCCGATGCTTTTGTAACTTTGTCATACGCCATGACCTAGATTTTGTATCTTGTAGCAGGATCTTGGAAACACATATCAGATTGTAGTGGTCCGGAGGTGATATTTTCCCGCCAACCATTTTCAGCTTCTGGCTGCTTGTTGTTCCGTTCTAATGCACTATCTCTTAATTTGTTTCTTGCCTGCAGTTAGGAAATGAGTTTGGTCCCCCAAAATTGCTAGATTAAGTATTACTAATTGAGATCTGAATATATATTCATGCTTAGATGTTGGTATTGATGTTTCAACTTGTTCCTAGTCATCACTAAGTTAATGCTATCACTGTCCTCCTCCTTTTCTTAATAAAGTTACCAAATGAGCTTCTGCCAATTAAATCATGTTAAGTGCTGCAAGTTCATCGAGTATGAAATATATATTGCAGTCTGGTGAGAAATTTGAATGCTCTGGATACACTAAACTGGAGGGATGGTCAATGTAACAGTTTGTGTGAGGTTTAGACCCTTGAGTCTTAGTGAGAAAAGACTTCATGGCGACAGTATCTGCATTCAGGCTTTGAACACTCAGTCTTTTACATTCAAGGTTCTATTGCCCTCCCTGAATATTCATTTTGCCTAATTGCATGTAGCTTGTGGTAATTCTCTACTTACTTTCCTGCAGGATGAGAAGGAAGAAGATATTACATTTTGCTTTGACAGAGTCTTCTATCAAGATTCTGAGCAAGTAGATGTCTACGACTTTCTTGCTATGCCGATAATTGAAGGTTGTTGCTCTTACATGAGAGCAAACTTTCGTATGCTTGGTTTTTGTTTAGCTCTAGACAAGTCTTCTTATAATAAAAAAAATCTCCCTAGATTAGAAAAGCAAATTATTTCGAACTAGCATGGAATATACATAGTTTTGTCCTTATCTGAGAAGTATTTCAAATGTTTTCTTGAGCAGGGGCTGTGAATGCAATAAATGGAACCATTATCGCTTATGGACAGGTAAGATGTAACAGAGCCAAACATTCTTGTGCACAATGTTGACATTGCCACTCTAGCCTTCCTTACTATTTTGCTTTTGATGTGCATATGCTGCATTAGCAAGTAGAAGCTTCTATTTTGATGTCACATTTTAAGCTTTGCAACCATTAGTTTGTATACTTTAACTAGGTACTTTTTGGATAATCACTTGTTTTGGAGCTACTCTCAGCAGTAACAATATGTACTTCAAGAACTTGTGGTGATAAGAAAACATCTGTGGAAATAGAAGGCCTGAAGAACAGGAACAAGTGCTTAAAATGATGACAACACAAGTCCATAACCATCCGGTTGATGCGTAATTTAACCTTGACAGTGAAGAGATGTAGAAAGCTACTGTGTCTCCTACCACTTTTAACTTGATGATTCTACAGTACCATGCTTCTGGTGAATCTTTCCTAGTTATTTTTTTATCATTGTTTTGCTTTAGGAAAAAAATATTGACTTGAGGTTTTATCCTTGATATGGTCTTCTCTCATGCTAATTCTGTTGTAACATCCTTAGTTCAAATGATATCACAATGATTCCAAGTTTAGATCTCATGAGCCCTAATAAATCCAGTAAAAGTGATGAGGAAATAATTGCTCTAAAAGTGTTCTATCATGTAAAGGAGGATATGAAAGGATCCTGAGTGGTTGGACAATGAGAAATTATAGTTGAAAATAACTTAACTACCAGTGTCCCTAATGCTTCTTATAAAGAATAACTTGGGCCAGGATCAGCTTAAGCAGAGCAGGGAATTCAGGTAGCTAAATATAAATAGTATGCCATTACCATTCTTTACATGTTGAGAAAAACATCGTCAGTTCAAATCTCCAAGTGTGATGGTAATCAGTTAATCATAAAAGATTTGTGCTCAAATAAAGCCTAATTTTGCTTGATGATCACCTTAGGAAATGATTTGTATAGACTGTCTATATACCAAGGTTTAAAAACCCGGTTTGATACTGGTACTGGTTAGTGATCACATCATGATAGAGGAAGGGAGGAGGAGGAGAGGAGGAAGATGAGGAGGAGATAGTGAACATACCAAAGGAGATAGCAGCGCTAATGTGAGGAGGAGGTGGCAGTGATGCAAGGAGGTTGCTGAGACATTGAAAAAGGAGGCTGAGGAGATAGGAGAAGAGAAGCTACAGCTTTTAAGGATGGTTGACGACTGTTGAAAGCCATTAATATTATTTACATCCCTTCTTGAGCAGGTTTTTTTCAAAAAAACTAAAATTTTAGATAGAACTCCGATTACTGGAATGGGATGCTAGGTTTACAATCCCGTATAACTCCAAATCAGTTATCTAACCAAGCAGTGCACTTGGTAATCTTGCCAGATGATACGCCCAATGTGGATTTTGATTAGGCAATCGGTGTGTCTGTACCAGTCATGCATTAGACCGGTGCATTTGGTATTGAAAACCTTGCTTTATACAACATTATTACAAGTTATAAGTTAGTTAGGAAAATAAAAGGCAAGGATAATTTGTGGCATTGACAACTCATTCTGTGCCACAATTATGTTTAAAATACATGATTAATGCACTTAAAGGAGCATATATTTATTGTACTCAATTATATACCTATCGATAATCACGTTTTCTTTTTTTTGACAAAGGATAAGTGGCGAAGGCAGGATTCGAGCCTAGGACCTTGCGATATACTGTTAAAGTCTTTACTAGCTAGGCTTGCTGACACCTTCTATAGATCATCATTTATGATTTCATGCATTTAAAGTTCACTCAGTTTGACTGAATTGATTTACCACCTTGCAGCTCTGATGCATCAAATGATAGATAAACTAAGACTGTTCGAAAGTCACATAATAGGACATCCAACTTTCAACTTCTTAGTCTTTATTATGCATATAAACCTTGGTTAGACTGCAAAACTAACTGCAGGTCATATTTAAGCTGACTAACTGAATATCTTTAGTTTTGTTTCTTTTAATAGTACTGAAAACTAATTCATTGAACTGTAATAAACAAAGATGTTACTAAGTATTCAATTTGTTGAATGTGATTGAGCAGACCGGAGCTGGGAAAACATACAGCATGGAAGTTAAGTAAAAAAAAAAAACTTTTTGCTCTTTTGTTGTAAGAGAGATGAAATAGAAGTAATGCAATTGTCAATCAATTAGTTGCTGATAATCTGAATAAACTTCTATTTAAAAGGGCCTTGGTGTCTTAGATGGAGATCGAAACAAGAAAGGATTGCTTCCACGCATTGTTGATGGGATTTTTGAATTCCTGCAATCTTTGGTGGAAATGACTAAGTGGACAGTCAAGTTGTCAATGGTGTGAAAACAATTTGTTAAAATTTTTTATCTTATATCTAGCATTGTGTATCAATTCTGTTTAATCATTATACTCTCTTTACTTGTTCAGGTTGAGATTTATATGGACAAAATAAGGTTGGTAGCATCTGATGAATTAATTGATTACTTTCCTAATTTATCAGTTAATATGTCTAGAACCTATTTATAGAGAATAAGTAACTTTAGACTGTAGTATTAGCATGGTCTGTGTGGACTGAATCAGAAGGCATGCTGCTATTTGCTAGGGATCTTTTTGATTTATCAAAGGATAACATACAAATTAAGGAGAATAAGTGCCAAGGCATATTTCTTTTGGGAGCAACTGAGGTGAGCTACACCCGTTGAACATGTTTCTATAGGAAAGTCACATTTTTATAGTCACCTTTGTTCTCTGGTATGTGCTTTTAGATCCCAATCACAAACTCTACAGAAGCCTTGCAGTGCCTTTGTGTAAGACCACCTTTTGAAATAACGGAAAAATATATTAATTTTCACTAGCTGATATTTGAAAATAAAATGCAGCATGGAATTGCCAATAGAGCTGTTGGTGAGACACGTATCCTCTCTGTTACATGCTTTAGCTTTTTAATCTTTGAAGCATCTTCAGGATTCTTTTATGTTATTTACATGTTGAACTGCTATGACAATTTTAGCTGTCATTTTTGGATCTTTAAACATACACAGAAATGAATTTGGCCAGTAGCAGGAGCCATTGTGTCTACATATTTTCAGTTCAGCAGGAATCTAGAACAAATGGAAGGTGATTTATGCTTGTTTGGTTTTACCTTTCATGGATGCACCTTTATTAGAACTAGCTTTTATATACATGGTTTTCAGGATAGGTTGATGCTTAAGATTTCAAAACCAAGGTTTAATGTTTTGATTCTCTACACTCAAAAAAATTATTTGATTGTATGTTTAACAACTAGTTTTCCATTGGGACCATGGAAACAAGTTATGTTGCCTGGCTAGGAAATACAAGTTTCCTCGAGTTACTTGTTCTGAGTTGTAAAACTATTGTAAACAAGCACTTTTATTGATATAGTTCTTCAATGGTTTTACAATATAAATATAAAACTTGCCCATGCAACTCTTTTGTCAAATTCCTTATCTGATATTCTTTTATCTGGATACCATTGTAAATGAGTCCTATTTCTGTGTCTCTTTAAGGATATCTAGTGGGCTTGTTTCTTATCGAAAACTATTGAGTCAATGAGTTTAAGAGTAGTTATAAGCTGCTTTTTCATGCTCTTCTGAAAGTGAATTTTGGTGCCAAAGCAAAATTTGGACCGTATGGTTCGAGAGGTTAATTGAGACAAGGAAATTGCATTTGCTCATAGAAGCAGTTTAGTTTCTATGATAACACCCTAGAAGTTAAAACTACATGTGCCTCATATGGAAATTTTCCCTAATGGGGTATTTTGCAATGCAAGGAGAATAGGGATCCCGAGGTTGAAGAAGAGAGAAGAAAGAAAGAGATTTAATTAATCTTAGAATTTTTGTAATAATGAGTTCCTCAGATAATGTTTTATATATTTGTTCCAGTATCAGTTTCAATAACCTATATGACAAACCTTTTGACCTTGTTGATGACTGATATTAATGACTATATCAAGATAAGTGCAGGACCAAATAACAAACTTGTTTTGCGAAAGAATGAACAACTTAAATAGAAATCAAGCGACGATATACTCTAAGGATACAATCTTCAAATGGAACAATCAATCATCCTTGAAGAGCCTACCATTCGTGAATGTGCTTAGAAGCATCATGGTTGACTTAGCTGAGTAATAAGCCTTGAATGAGCTCAACAGTTAACATGTGCATGATACCTTAAAATTGCAATTTAAATGATGCATGTAACATGACTCAATATAACTTCTGTCTAAGATCAAATAAGGTTGAAACATGCCTATGGAAGTGATTCTATTGGCTGGTGATTGATCAGCTTGAGGAAGACTGCTTCAGATAAATTGACTTCATTGGATCTAAAGGTTTTTGAGATAGGACACAACCCATCGTGGGATAAATTTTCATGGATCTGGCTCAGCCAATCTGCAGAAAAATCAACCGTAGGATGCTATTGGTTTCAAGTTTACCATCTGGACCCAATGGGTCAAAGTGATTCATACAGAATTTGATTGTAAGTTTTGTTGTTCTTATTGTTAGAATAGGAAGGGGTAGAGAAAACCTGACAGCTAAGAAATTTTTGATCCGGGATAAAAATACCAATCTCACTGCATCCTGGAACACATAGTTTAACTGTGATGGCATTTCTTTTCTGCTTTTTAATAAATTAAGAATAACCAGATGTACCACAATATGCGATTGTACTAGCAGGTTGAAAACTGGAAAAATTGTTCTTGTGGACTTAGCCGGTTCCGAGAAAGCTGATAGAACTGGTGCTGGTGGAATAGTCCTTGAAGAGGCCAAGAGCATAAACAAGTCCCTCTCAGCATTAGGGAATGTGATTAATGCTCTGACAGCTGGTAAACAAAACTTCTTTCAGCAAGCATGCAACATCATTATAAAATGTGCGACATATCTAATGCTCTTGCGGTGATCAGCTATAATTATTTTCTTTTTTGCAGGAAAAGTGAACCACATTCCTTACAGGGATTCCAAACTTACCCGGATTCTGCAAGATGCACTAGTTAGTTGCCCTATGGTTTAAATTAGGACATCAGGTGCTATTATCATACCTCTTTATGTTGTAGGGTGGAAACTCCAGAACTGCTTTGCTTTGCTGCTGCTCGCCTAGCCCGTCAAATGTTTCAGAAAGCCTCTCCACACTTCGGTTTGGAGCTAGGCATGTTCGGGAATTATTAATAACCACTTGTCAACTATAATCCACTATAAGTATCAGTTCTTACTGCAGGGCAAAGCTTCTAAAATCTTCACCAAGAGCCAACATGAGTGATGCAAAGGACAACATGGAACAGATTATTGATTGTGAATCTCTAGACTACAAAAGTGAAAGACTATTGGAAAAGGTTCTTTGTGAGAAAAGTACTATCAGCCTTACATACTGTCTGCAGGAATCTGTTCTGTTCATGTTATGTATAATTTTGTACAGCTAAGGCAGAATCTCAATGAGGAAGATGTTGACATGTTGGATGAGTTGCTTACACTGGAGGGAATCTTCTTTGATCCTCAATCGACTGAAGAAATTGAATCAGCAATTGAAGATGTAACCATCAGAACAATTTCAGCATTGCATCAAGCAGTTGAAGATCTTAAGGACAGAAATGACATGGTAATCGTGTTCAAAATTTTCTGGTTAATTGTTGCTATAACTCTCGTATTAATGTACTCTTACTGTCTTCAGCTGATGATGGAGAATCATACTCTGAAAGCTGACCTCACAGCTGCTCGGCTAGCTCTAAACAATGCCAAAACTGTCCCAAATGCATCTTTGTTTGGCAAAGCCAGAGAACTTTTGATCTCATATCTACCTTCATTTAACTTCCCTCTGAGAAGGTAAAAACATCTCCAACCTGCAATATATGATGAAGAATTTTACTACATTAACCACTCTAGACTACTGTAGAAGCAAAAACAGAATTTACTCTCGCAAATATTGTTGAATGCTTGATAATCTTGCTATGAAAACAACTGCTTATTTGGGCATTCATGCCCTTGAGTATCTTATATTTGGGCATTCTTTTTTTTTGGAAAATGCTTCCCTAGATAGCAAATATATGATCTGAAATGTGGAATGTCATTTAAGTCCACATGATGTCGATAGGATGGAGTTGAATCCCTCTTAAGTTTGCTAAAGCTTTAAATATTTTATTTTATTTACTATAAGAACGATGGTTAGGAAGAAAAGTTTGTTATATAACATGTGTTATGAGAAGGTAAGAATAAAAGTAAAAAATAAATATAAATAATTTATCATATTTAGATATTACAATATTGTACATATTAGTATAATGATATATAATAAGATTATGATTATTAACATATTCGTGAGTAGCACAATTTTGTTTTAATTATATGCAATGTGTTTCTTAGTTCTTGATGTAAAATTTATCTATGTAATTGTAATCCTAAAATGCTTTCAGACTCATTTATCTCGTTCTATAATGTGTTCTTTAAACTATTCATCACGCCCCTTATTCAATCCTCTTCTGTCAGTTACAAATTGAACTCAAATCAATCTAGTCGGTCAATCCTTTTTGTCATCTTTCGCGGGTTGACATTTTTTGTTTGTTTATTTCGAAGGTACAGTTGATCAACACCGTAAGATTCTGAGATCGCATCTCGTCCTCGCCACTTATTATACGTTAAAAAAAATTATCTGATTTATGGTTTTTCTTTGTCATTTTTCTTGGGCTCCAACTCGCAACGGACTCGGATCTTGTAATTGTTGAGGCGGACCCGGGGGAAACAATTTTTACGAACCGGTCCGACCCGGCGCCGAGAGGATTAAAGTGGCTTTCCACCGACGTCACTTTGTGCTTGCCAAAAAGCGAAGGTGAGGGGACGGAGGGAACGAAAAGCGAGCAATGGGGAAGGAGGAGCTTACAGAGGAGCAGGTGGCGTCGATGCGAGAGGCATTCACCCTGTTCGACGCGGACGGGGACGGCCGGATCGCTGCGTCCGAATTGGGGATCCTGATGCGTTCCCTGGGCGGCAACCCCACGCAGGCCCAGCTGAAGGAGATCGCCGTCTCGGAGAGCCTCACCGCCCCCTTCGATTTCCCCCGCTTCCTAGACCTCATGCGCAAGTACCTCCGTCCGGAGCCCTTCGACCGCCAGCTCCGTGACGCCTTCCGCGTCCTCGACAAGGACGCCACCGGCACCGTCGCCGTTGCCGATCTCCGCCACGTCCTCACCAGCATTGGCGAGAAGCTTGAGCCCGACGAGTTCGATGAGTGGATCCGCGAGGTGGAGGTCGCCCCTGACGGCACCATCCATTACGAGGACTTCATCCTTCGCATGGTCGCCAAGTGATCCACCGATCCCATCCCATCCAATGACTTCTGGCCCAGGTATGGTCGTGGATCTGTGCTTGTGTTCCATTTCTTTGAGATCTTGGCTTGTTTGCATATTCTTTTTGGAGGTCCTAACAAAATCTTCGATTATGTTTGGTCTGACATATGGTTAGGATTTGGTCGTATTATCATCATGACTATTAAATGCGAGATGCATATGCAATACATAGGTTGATAAATTATTCTTATAGTTTTCTTTGATGGCATCTGTCTATTTTACAGAACAACATGAACATTTATAGTTTTCTTGTTGAGACAATATATTTCTGTCATCTGAATATAATTTTGAATTTTCCTAAACCTATGCTAAATTGTTATATGTTACATATGGATGATTGAGTTATTTTGCACTTATGACAAAGTAGACTAATGTAACAAAACATAAGAACTATCAGGAAAACAACCTTTTATTCTATGTGAGTGGTGATAAAAGAAATTTCTAAGTGTTTGAAATGTTACTATACAGATAATTGGTGCTTGAGTTTTACTATCTAATGCAAATAATTGGTCATGTAGAGTTCCTACTAACACTCATGGAGAATTTGTGAGTAATTTGAGTTTCGACTGAGGATGTATGATTGTATATACTGTCATGGAATGCATTTCCTATTTCACATTTGTGATGTTTTTTTTTTTTTGCATATTATTGTCCCTTGTGGCCAAATGCAGACTCATGCAAAAATTTTCAGATACTAATTGATGCAAAATTTCCATGGTAAACTTACAAACATCTAGCCTAATTTTAACCCTCATATATGCCAGGATGGTGATCATATCTAATAGAAGTATGATGACAAGTTCAGTGTGGAGATACAAGTAGGAAGGAGAAAATGAGAATGAAAGAGAAAATGAGAATGAAAGGGCCTGCTGATCACAAATGCTCGTAAATGGCCAACCGACACTCTCCTCAAAAAACACAAAGCCAGCCTTTGTTACTGTTTTATCTAGGAGTTAAGACCTGCTAGGACTCCTAATACTAAACCATGTAAAACTGCTACTCTCTCTGTTCAACTCATTTTAATTAATAATAAGCATCTAGCAGTAAAAAAATATAATTCAGTTATATTTCTACAAAAGTACCTAAAAATTAGAAAAACTAAAAAACTAGGAGTAATATTTAGAGTAATTTTCTGATGATAGAAGAAAAAGAAAATCAAGAGATCGAGTCCTCCGATACAGAAACAAGAATAAAAAGAGCATGGAATAAGTTGAACATGGTCTTCTATTCTCACTTACTATTTGGTCAATGATTGGATGGTGGAAGTTCCAGGAAGTAAACCCAAACAGATGTAAGTGGCCACTATGTTCCTCTTCATTTAAAGAGGAAGATGCATATCCTAGTAACCCAAGGAAGTCCACTCAATTATGATATACCTAAACTAATATTGGAAATGCAATTTTGGCATATCTCATATGAACTATGAAGCCTCAGAATTTGCTTCAATCAACATATCCATTATGAACGTGCAACTCCAAGATTTAGCTATGAAAACTAAATGGGCAAATTTCAACTTCTTTCAATGCTTGTATCTTTGATTTCTGATGCACCAAGGTTTTCTTGAAAAATTGTGGGATTTTTTTTATTGATGAGAGTAGAGGAAAGATGGTAAATTAAAGTTTTATGAATCAAGGAGATCAAAGTAAGGAAGAATTCTCTTTCTTCTCTTGTGTGGCTGAGAGGAAGGAGATTTAACTAAATCAAATCCTTTACTATATGATAAATATTATTACTGTTACTACCATGCCTTAATGTTGGCGACCAATCATATTCACAAATTATTAAAAGGTGTCATGAGAGTGAACTTTCCTTTATTAAAAATCCTGTCACCTTCATCTTAGAACTCAAAATGTGACTCGTGATAGCTAAACAATTTGCCAAAACATATTCTAATAGATTTTCTGATTGTTTTCTAGCGTATCATAGATTGTCATATTGGTCAATCTCGACTTGTGTCACGTGATCTAGATTTGACTTAACTGACGCCAACCCCAATTTTGCTGATTTGTGGCCTTATCTTTAGAAGTGGTTAATAATGGTCGAAATAAAATATACACAGAGTTGGCCAGTTTTGGCCAATTTCAGTTGATTTGTAAAACTTGAATGCATTAAAATCTGTCAAATACAACATGCTCGTATTTTTATGGTATATGTGAGCTAGTTTTCTTCCGTTTTACTTTGTGAAGAACATGTTATTTTCTTCCCATTTCAGATCAGGAATGAACTGGTTTAATTCCATTATATTGACTTCATGCATGCCTTTTTGCCCTATGGACATACAAAATTCAATATTTTCATGTTGACTTTCTTGGACTTGTGGTGTGCTTATCCTTTTTTTATTAATCATAATAAAATTTAAAATTTCAACTTAATGTCATCTAGTTATGATCTGACTAGATTCCTTTGGTTCAAATTGGACATTTACTATGTATCTTCTTAGAATTAATTCCACATTGAATTCACAGTTTTTTGAAAAGATGTATTATGAAAGTAAAAAAGACAAATAATCATCTAGTATAAGATAACTTTATTTTCTAAAAATTGTACTGTTTTTTGTTTTTTAATAATTTCATATGATTTTTCATTTTTTAATATGTTTCAATTATTTTCATGGACGATTAAGGTCTTGTTGATCTAGTATAGTCCATACTACTGATATGATCGTGATTGGGAGTTGTGGATGAAACCCTTTTGTTTCAAATGAAGTTTTGTGATGGTGGCACAATTTTCATACATTGTGACACAACTTTCAACAGCACCTGCAATGTTGTGAGTTTGGTTATGCATAGATCAATTCATTGTGTTCCCATCGTTTGTTTAGTCATTCAAACTCTTACAGAACATTCTTGCAAATATTTTGTTCTCCACTTCAACTTCCTCATTGCTAGGCAGAGATCTGAAGAAATTTCATTTCCTCTTCTGTATGAATAATGTTTCTTTTACTTTTGGGAGACTATCTCTTGGGTTTAATAGAAGTAGTTCTTAGGCCTACATATAGACCACAATATTTTAATCATCGGTACCATCTTTTTTGTCTAACCTGTTTATGTAGAAATACCTGATTTAGTACACATCCACACTGATTAAATTTGAAGTATATGTATGAACTGAAGTATGACGTTCTGTATTGAATTTTTTATCCGCCCTGTAGTTGCTAATCTCTCAACATCACTAACATACATACTTCTCATCACTTCGATTATTACTGCAGAGTTTCTTTTCCAACCAAAAGAATTGGCTGAAGAGCTGCGCATGAATGAATGAGTTGGTTGTAAGTTGTGGCTTTTCTCCAGCATTATGTCAAACATGGTTGTTCTAGCAATACTTTAATTAACATTTTAGTTTCTTAGGTGGTTGACTCTTCAAGTGAATGTCTTGAAGCCGATTGTGTTTTACTGACTCGTGTTGTTTCTAATGTATCTGTAGCTTTTTGCATGTGGTGACAACTAAATAGTTATGCATCAGAGTTGGGAACCTTACATTTGCATGATCACTCTGTAATCGTGTCCATTTGAGCAGTTTTATCATGTTTATACACCCAGAACAATATGTCAATGATTTTTTGATATGCTAGATTAAAAGGTAAGATTCACACCGTATGAACATTAATCAACGAATTTTCTCCAAAGCTTATTTCAATTTTTCTAAGCTCTTAAGTATGTGTTGAAAAGTTGTGCTTATTTATGCAGTCTTCATCCTAGCAATACTAAGTCAATGATATTTTCCCGCTGGTTCTCAGAGTTGCAAACAATCATCTTTTTGATCTTCTATATATGACTTTACAATCAAACTGCTCGCTTGCGACTAAAAAGATATTTTTTTGCCAGATGTGACTACTTTTGGCATCACCTTTGCGAAGGTTGTCACCACCAACATATATTAGCTATAATATTTATTGGGCTAATTATATATTATCTTTTATAATTTGATCTTCTTAATATCTCAGTTTTTTAACTTAAAAAATTTATATTAGAATTTTTATAGTTATGAAAATAAAATATTTAATTTTATTTATCATAATATCATCGATTTTAGTAACGAAAGATATCACATGACAACACATATATGAATGATAAATAAAAAGATAATTTCAATGGTGACGGATGATAAAACTATGGACGACCATTGTGATGGTGGTCGATAAGAACGCTCTGATGGTCGATTTTGTCGATATCGATTTTAACATCAACAACGAGGACGATGAGGCAAAACGGTGAGGCATTTGCGTTGACGGTGCACCACCCTACCTCCTCTTCGTTCTCGTCGACCATTGCATCGTCGGAAGAGGAAGAGGAGGTAGAGCGGTGTGACACCGATGCAAATGCCTCACCTCCCTCCTCTTCCTCCTCCAATGTTGCATTGCTCTACCTCTTCTTTGTTCTTACCGACTATCGCATCGTCGAAAGAGAAAGTAGGTAAATGCTAATGCAAATGCTTAACCTCCCTCATCTTCCACCTTCGGTGTCGATGTAAATGTCTCACTACTCTGCCTCTTGTCATTAATGTTTGGATCAACATCGATAAGACCAACCACCATATTGTTCTCGCCCACCACCACCACAATAACCATCCACGACATCATTTTTATATCCATCATTTTTGTATCATTTTAAATATAAGGATTGAAATTTTAATATAACTATAAATATTTTAATATAAATTTTTTAAGCGACAAGAAAATCTTATCGCTTGCGTTGCTATTTTTCTTTTTCCGATACTTACAATAAACCATAACCCCAATTGATCGTCATTTCTTTCTTGCATATTGGATATCATCACTCTATTGATGATTTCCCAATATGAGACGAAATAATGTTTACAAAATTGAATTAAATCCAATGAGATAAAGAGTACAGCACAAAATAACAGCACTTAAAGAGTATACTATACAACGGGCTAGAAGCGACGTGGGAACGGCTGTTGACAAGGATAGCACACAACACACTCTAATGGGGTTGAGGTTACACATTAATAAGTAAAACTAAAATGTAGATTACTTCCTACTACTGCATCATTTATCCGCGATATGACTATGTTCTAAATAAAGACTACCCAATCATAATCACTAAAAAATGTCAAACTATACATATGAAACTACCAAAACTAGTAGAGGGAAAGATGGGTTGATCCCATGTTCAAGCAATAAAAATATGCTTATCAATATGTTGTAACCATCACATCACATTCTAATGGACACTACTTGTGAACAACTGCAATAAGGTTATCATAGAAAATCGTACTATATATTTGTGCCGAGATTACATGAGTCCAAAAACAAGAAATGAGAGCAAGAAAAGTTCCAGGCAAGTCTGATGAACTTACCTGTAACGAGTAGGGGATAATCTCGACTGCAATGGCTTTGGGAAATACTTGTCAACCATTTTCTGTTGATCTTTGAAAGAGATTCAAGCACCTATAGCCTGACTGACTCATTAGGAAGCACAATCAGGCCTCTTCTTTGCCCTTCTGCAGTCTCTCTAGCTCCAATTCAGCTTCCTCGAGCTGTAACCTCAGTGTAGATATTCTCTGTTGCACTTCCTCCACAGTGCCCCTGGTGAGGGAAGGCTTATATGGTGTAACAAAGTGATGAGAGAGCTTTTTAAGAGCTTCAACCCCACAGACCTACAAAACCCACATCATAGATGTCTCGTACTTAGATGTCAACTTTGAAATAATCAAGCAGAAATTTCTACCTCTTCCGGAAGTAATGGCAATTTGGTGATATGGAAGTCATCGTACAACAGGTAGAACTGGTCAATGTATTTTTGTTGCATCTTTATTCGTGCTTTCAGTAATTTGGATTCAACAGCTACAAGAATGAAAATGAGTGATCTGAACTAGAATAAGATTTAGAATATGCTTGTGGAAATTAGCACGCGTCAACTTCAAAAGATGCAACTTGCAGTTTAGTCTAGATACGCACCTTCCTCATCAAAAATTACTTGATTAATAATAATATTATGGGCATCGATCTCAAACTTTGTTAGTTCTTGCACCAACCTCTCTGTTTCATAGAGAGAGAGAAACTCTGGAATGCAAACGCACACAAATGTTGTCAAATCCTGTCACAAAAGTTTACAATGTCAAGGAGGCAATAATCAGTAGATTTTCACACATGGTGCATTAAAACCAGTAAAATATATGATCACACCACTGAAACAAGTTTTATGAGTACACTAGTCACTTCAATTGGCATAAAGTGCATTAAAACCAACAAAATAGATGATCACACCACTGAAACAAGTAAGTTTTATGAGTACTCTTGTCACAGTTATATTAGATTATAAGCAACCAAATCATGAACCTAAACAGTATATCAGTACATCATCTGTATAATATTACCAATTATATACTTCAGCTAAAGAACTCCTATAAATTGGCGTCGTCTAAAATGAACAACTCCTGCTGGCCCTTTTTTTTTTCTTTCAAAATATTAGACTGAAGATTAATAGACATGACAGAGGCTTCTACTTTGACTAAAAGCAAACAAAACAAAAGGGAGGTGCAGTGCCACCAATATGAGGTCTACAGACAGTTTACATGCAGCCTTACCCCTATGAGCAGATGTTTTCATGACTCAAAATCTGATCAGCTAGATTGCAAAGGAGCAGACATACTGTGACACCAAGGCTCACCATCTAACTAAAAAACAAACATTATCTATAATTTATGGGTGATAAAAATAACACGAGAAGGCCTCCAATTAAAGAAAAAAGTCCACAGATACATCAATAATTCCAGAGACGAAGGATGTTTATTGTCAATTGTATTTCTGAAGGAATCCTACAATTCCACATAATGAGCACTGCACCCACATGATGAGCTCCCCATTGAACATATATGGTGCGTAACCACCTAATGTAAACTCGCAAAATAATATCAAGATTCAATGTGTATGATAATTAGAGAACAACATATGGATCAAGAACATTATGATGTGTTCAAACAACATGTATAGTATGTACAATAATACACTCATGTACACCAATCTACCAAGGATGAAAATATAAGGTTCCCTTTTAAATTGACAATGATCAGATCATAGATGCATAGACTCATGCTTATCTTATTCATTATAAATGAACTGAAGATACCCCAGGAACTATGTTAAACAATTTTTTCTATAGAACACAAAACATCAATTGCTACTGGCCAGTTAATTTACTAAAAAAGATTATTAAACTTAAGAATCAATTTAAGAAACTTTCTTGATGCTACACAACAGACAAGTAGGATATCTGGATGGTACGTGATCTTACTGGATCCTTAAATTGTTTGTTTACTTGCTCAATCACATCCTTCATACCCTCCAACTTTCCTAGCATTGCATCCTCATTGAACTCATCACCAAGACCAAAAAGACGAGTAGCCTGTCATCAGTGTTTAATAACAGAGTAAGTTGGTGAGAAGTACGAAGAAAGAGTGTGGACATCAATACTAAGCAAGAAAGTTAGTGAGAAGAAAGAATACATTACCAAAGAATTACAAGCAAATATTCAAAGTTCAAAAATAGAAAACATTTATCATGATAGAAAAATATAGCCGTTTCTTGACATAGTAAGAAACATAAATGCAATCTGTCTGATAATGTCAACAACCCAGTTCTGGAAACCTATGAAATGAGTTTTAATTCCATTTACTGAAATTTTAATGTAAAGCATCCTTTATTTAAAGTCATGAGATTTTAATTCATTTACCCATTCATCAACTGATAAAAAATTGAATGATATAGCACAATTGCGATTGTTCATGAACTTCGTACAACATAAATGTTTATATGGAGACACTTTAAAGAATCTATATCAATGTATGTATCTTTAAATTTGAACTTCCTATATGAAGCTCTAGAGATTCTAGAAACTATTCTAATATCAATTTGATCTGAGACATTTTACTCCATATATTAAAACAAAATTTATAGTTGCACAAGATAATAATATGTAATGACTAATGAGCACTATATACGATACAATATTATATGAGTAAGTGGTTGGGTAGTGCCATCTATGCCAGTTTTGACATGTGTTACTTGTGGGTCATTCTGTACTGTATGATCTGCAAACTCCACACCAAATGCTTGGCCAACCTTAGGACTAGTGATCCAAGCCTCATGCATGTTAAATTGGGTTAGCATGAAGGTGGCCTGACCCTCATCTAAACCTTCAAGAAAACCCACATGCGGGAATGGTTTTAGACACTCACATGATTTTTTTGTATCCATAGATACTTTTCCTTAACAATCTTACCACATGTCATTCTCAGTCGCAACGTAGCTAACCAACAAAAAACTATATAAAAATACAATTGGTCATCAACTGAGTCATGACAAACTTTAGTAGGTTGTTGAATAATAATGAAAACAAGCTACACTTTGGCATTAGAGCAAGGTCAGACCTTTTATCATTTGGTATTACAATGGGGTACTCTCTTTGCACTTTGAATTTCACATTGATTAGTAAAATACTTGCATGACCACCAATATGGACA